TTTAAGGACAACTATTTGTAATATATCCTAACGCATAAACGGCTTTTTTTTAATTTTAAAAAAAAAGAGCCTTTAAGGAGTCCTCAGACAGAACCACAGTCCAATAGCATAAAAGACTTGTTAGGTATGAGTGCATGAGGTCTTCAGTGAAAAAGTGGTGAAAATGGAAGAACAAACTAAATGTTCTAGGGTTTACATTATTGCATGAATTGGAAACACCTCTGTAGGTAGTTTTTATTCTATTACAAAGCTTCAAATCGAGTCTGTTTCTCCCTCATCTTCACTATGTACATGGTTCTGTGAGGAAGTCTTTCGTAGGTATAGCCAAGCAAAATTTCTAGGCTCTCAAAAGGTCTAAGTGGTATTTGTCAGTGCCTCACCCAACACATGGGTCTGAGGATAAAAACACATTCAAAGGAAGAAAAATGAATTTCAGCTCTATTCACAAGCAATTCACATGCATTTTGAAGACTGAGATTTATGGCTCATCCTTTGCTCTTACATATTTCAGGGCCAACTTCCATGTTCCTTTTTCGACAGAGCAAATAGAATATTGAGATATATTTGGCATTAGATATGAGGCGTTATGAAGAAAGAATTTCCACAAAAGGAACAGGATAAAATCAGCTTTATCTTCCTGGTGGAATAGAGAGGAAGCAGGACTGAGCATGTACTTCTCATGACGAGACACGAGAGAGATCTTGTTCCTCTATACACTGAATCTATCAGTATGGCTCTGATTTCAAACTCACTCCTAGCACTCTGCTTAAGGCTCAACCTGGGTATAGAAAAGCTGGGCTCTTTAGTGATGGTCAGAAGTTGTGAAAAACCAATTTTGGTGGTTTTTTTTTTTTCTCTTTCATTTCTTTTTCTTTCCTTACAACCTTGTGAATCAACATTGTGTACTAAAAAAGACTATCCAGGAAATAGCACAAATATAAGAGTGACTGAATTCATGTATCAAATCTGCAAAAGTGGCATCACCATCTCCAATTCCTTATCTCAGTTTATGAGAAACTGGGAAAAGAATAAAAGCTTAAATCACAGTATTTGCAGCACAAGTGTTGAAAGAATGAAATTGTATAGTATAACTGATCAAAGCAAGAAAATCTCCTAATCCTGTATTAAGGCCAAAGGAAATCAAAACATACTCAGGTTGCAGCATGTGTTCATTAAAAAAAAAAAAAAAAAACTCTTCAGATTCAGATTTCATAGGGAAAACTGATCTCAGTCTGAATCCTCTAATTTTGGCTAGCAGGCAAGATTGGGGTCAGTCCCTCATATGCTGGAATTCCCTTTGAAGGCCTCAATTCATGCACATATATCAGTGTACAGAAGTAATTACACTTATATAAATTATAGCTGAGATGCTTATAAAGCAACCAAGAATACTTTTATTAAATTACTGAAGATGTTTAAAAAGAACAAATAGAAAATAGCAGGCATTATCAATGGCTATCTTAAAATAATAATAGGCGAGTTCTATTTAAATTTGAATCAGAATCCCTCCTACCACATTTAAACATCAGTAATACATTTTAATTTATTCACTAAATGCACTATTTAAGAATTGAGATCTTACTCACTAGAATTAACTTGCATAACTTCCAAATATGACTCAAAGAATAACATTAAACATGATTATTTGTCTACAGTATTTTAATTTGGCCAATGACTTTGATCTTTTACTTGCTAAGCACTTGTTTTGCCTGAGTAAAATAATTCCAAGTCTCTAAATCAATCCATATTTGCACTGACAATACTCTACAAATAGGTTTCAAGACTGAAAGCAAGCAAAATTGAAGGTGCTCTAAAAGGGAAGAGCTGTCTGTACAATGGTCAAAATCACTATTCCTCTGCAGTCTGCTGTGAACCTCTAGCTTGAAAAAATTGAAAATTAACCTACACTTGCAAATACAAAATGTTTCAAAGATGCTTTTGGCAAAATAATCTCTTAATGGTAACATGTTTAAAATGAGTAAGATGTTAAATATCTGAAGGGAAGGCAAGGACTGGCCATCTGGGAATCCAAGAGGTCCTAGTAACTTAGAAGAAACTTCTGGTCCAGCTAATGGCCTAAAGGATGGAAGATGGGAAGAGGAGAGTCAATTTCCACATCTTCTGACTTTCAGGCTCAATCTTTCTGTCTTCAATCCTACAGAAAATTAGAAACAATCCTCTGAACTGGGCCATCCCCTTAGTAAAAAATATCTTTTTGTTGCATAAACCTCATTATCCATTACCAACTTGTTATATTTCTAGTAAATCAGCTTTCTTCCCTCCAAAGATCTATGTTGCCTTTGTAGATATGATCCTTCTGATTGACCCTAGATAAATACAAAGACTTTCATTCTGTAAGCCTTGAGATGTTCAACTCAAGAGCAAAGACCATGACCATTAATGCATATGCTCAAAAAAAAAAGAAAAGAAAAGGAAAACCAGAAACAGAGCATCATCTTTAGCTGTCCTCAGGTGCTACAAAAAGGTCCATGAGTTTTAATTTAAAAAAAAAAGGAAAGGACATAACCCTATTAAAGACTGGAGGCAGGAGCTGGTGAAAAGGGGATTTCTCTCCTGAGACCCTTACTGATATAATCAAAACAAGTGAAAAATATGAAGGTCAGCTAATCAGGCCATTCTTCAGCCCACAATAAGTATTGTTGATAATCTCTCAAATGAAATCTTTATCTGATGAAATCTTGGATGAATGAAAGAAAAATCAAACTCATTTTTTTCTTTAAATTACCATACAACCTACCTATTTAAATTCCTCTTTTATGGAAACTGCATAATCTTCCTTTCATGAAAATCTCCCTTGTTGATATATGCAAACCAGGTCAAATACTGCTGGATTTGCGTACTTGTCTTTTATTTCTTAATTCAACTCCTCATTAAAGGTTGTAAAAAGAGAAAGAGCTGGATCTCAAATACACATAAAACAAATACTGCTTATATGTCTATGGGAACACTGACACTATTTACAGATTTTTTTTTTTTTTTTCCTTTTTCCTGGGGGCTCAATGCCCTGTCAATAATCATTACTTATTAAACAGGCTGCCATTCCCTTCTACACAGTGTAGGAACAGAGCCTGGTGGAGTAGGAATAATTACCTTCGTTTTTTCTCTAAAGACCTTTGGAATGGAAGGCAAGGAAATAAATTTAGAAAGAATATGAAATATCCCTATAATGTGTAACACACCCCCCCACACACACACACACATCTACAAGTTGGGATGATATAGACAATCCACTATTCCTATCAACTGCATAAGAAAAGGAGATAAAAATGCTGAGCATTTCAGGAGAGACACATACATTTCCAAGCCAGTAAATGTGCTCACACTTATATGCAAAAAGCCCTTTATTCCTCCACAGAACTCAGGCAAAATTTGTTGACATGAACCTCTAAACACCTCCTGAGAAAATGTGCTTTCAAAAATGACTGCTTTGGCCAAAGAAGAGAGAAGCAAATTACTGATTTAACTACCATTCTGGTTTGTGTCAGGCTTCTTCCTTCCCTTCTGTCTCCTAATTTATCTTCTAGCCTTTTTAGTTTTTCCCCAAATCCGAGTATGAACATGAAGGCTTTCTCAAACCGAGACTTTATCTATAAATACACTTAAAAAAAAAAAAAAAAAAAAAAAGTTTCAAAGACTAGCTAAAACCCAAGGTAAAATCAGCAATCAGGAGAATGCAAAATAACCAGATGACTGTAAGCAAACCTGGCATTCCCTACCAGCATTGAAGAGTTAATAAGGAGCCCTGTTCCTTTCCCCAGATGTTATGGCTCAAAATATAAATTTCATATAGAGACAACAAAACTAGACAGTGTTTGCAAATTAGCCTTGCACATAACTTGAACAGGCAGGCTAGGGGTTTGTCCTAAATAACCTTCACAGGTTGCACAAAGTGTTACCATATCCTGATCAATAATCGGATGAAAAAGGTTCCAGAGATTCCTTCAACAAGAACAAGGTGGAGCGAAAGGGATAAATTAATAACGTTACACATTTATGAAAATATGGAGAAACTATATACCTCTTATACAAATAAACAGAAAGCAATCATGGTTGGAGTACACACTGGCCAAGGCTGGCAGCAAAGAAGGTGAGGAGAAAGATGCTACAATCAAAAGAAGAGATGTTTCTAAAAGGCTGAGTGTTCTCAACCAGATGCACACAGAACTCTGTCGTATTCTGCCTGCATTTTCCAGGGGCTAAGGTTCAGACCCCACCTTTGGGAAACGAACAAAAGCAAACGCTTGGCATAGCTAAAAAAACTCCTCCATGGTCAGGACCAGCGGCGGTGGCTCTGCAGGGCTTCATTTTTATTTTCCCCCAGTTAACTGGATCTCTGCAGCCAGAGAATCAAATGTCTACACCTTGGAATGGCCATGGACACACTGTAGGGGCTCAGTTTAGCACTACCTCCCCAAATGGCTTCTAATTAACCCTTCCCAGTCCGAGCCCGGGTCAGGCTGGGGAAGTCTCCTGCTACATTCTACCAATGTCTTTATCAAACCAATACCACCACCCACGGACATAACTTCCCTTTGTGGCTAATCGTCAGTTTGCAGGTTCTTTTCTTTCTCCCCTCCCCACTGGCCTTTGAAAGGTCCTCCCTCCTCCCCGTCCCTCCAAAGGAGCAGCACTGGAGAATTCGCCAGCAGGTCTGCAGTGAGGAAGGACAGCACTCGCGTTAACCCCTTGAAGGGAGTTAGGAAATCTGTTCTCCTTTGGGACCCACTATAGTGTGGTCCATTAAACTAGACGACGCCCCTTTCTGCCGCTCCCGCCCCTCCCCCCCAGACACAGAACAGGCGGGCACATTTTCCCTCCTTTGGTCAGTTTTATCCAGCTCTGTACCCTAAACCTGAGTTGGGGGATGGGGGTAGGGCGGAATGTAGAAAATAAGCAGCAAGGGGTAAAGGAAGAAAGGAAAAAAGGAGAGCAGAAAAGTAAGGCAGGAGTAAATCACAGTTGAGACGCTGTTTACTTACGAAATTTGGGGCTGGTGTTAGTTTCTGGCGTAGTGGTGGTAGAGGAGGAGGAAGGAGAGGAGGAGGAAGAGGAGGAGGCGGCAGCATCCTGGAAGGGAGACAGGGTCCAGGAGGGAGTAGAGTCGTGAAGGTAGGAGGAGGTAGCATATGCCGCAGTGGGCCAGGAGGGCATTGCTTGGGTACTGGGGGTTCCTGGTATCGGGGGGCGGGAGCTTGGTGTGCTGCTGCTGAAGAAGGGGGATGTCGTGGACAGTACCGTCGGGGGGCCCGCAGTGTTCCGTGCAGTAGTGGAGCGCGGGCTGGCCCGAATGGGCACCCGGTGCCCTGGAAAGCGAGTGGGAGCCCGAGTGATGGTGGTCAGGCGCGTGCTAATCCGGTTGGGCGTCCGGGAGGAGGCGGCGCCGGCGGCGGAAGGGGTAGCAGGGGAAGTAGTCGATGTGGTCGTGGTGGTGGTCTCCATAGCCTTGGGGAAGGAACTGGGCTTGGAGAGGAAGAAGGGGTCCTGGCCCATCCCCTTCGAATCGACCAGGTCCGTGGGCACGTACTCTTTGACGGAGCCCACCACGATCCATTTGAGAAGCATGAGGCTGAGCCCCAGGCCGATGAAGCCGATGAACAGAGGTACCACGCACAGCCACGTCTGCTGCCGGTTCCACACGATGCAGTCGCTACAGCGTAACTCCCGGGGGGGTTCGACAGCCCCTTCGCCGCCGCCACTGTCCAGGCCCCCGCCTGCCGCCGCCGCAGCCGCCGCGGTACCTTCTTCGGCCGAGGCGGCGGCTGCCGAAGCGGCACCAGGTGGCGAGGCAGCGGCCGCGCCTTCACTCATCCTAGGAGCTGGTCTTCACCTTCGCCCCACGAGGGCCGCGCCAGAGGCATGGGGCCGAGCGGCCAGGCGGGCGCAGGCTCCGGCAGCAGCGAGCTCCGGCGCAGGCAGCGGCGGCGACGGCCGCATGCAAATCGGCTCCCTGCCCCCACGCCCCTCCCCCCGAGAGGCGGGCGGCGGGCGGAGAGAGAGCTCGGAGGAGGGGACGCGGCCGGGGAGGGGGAGGCGAGGAGCGCTAGCTGGGCGAGACGGCCCCTGGCGCCGGCCGGTCAGAGAGCAGCAGGGCGCGTCTGCAGCCAGCCAAGCGCCCTTCTGTGCACCGAGGCCCTGCTCCCGCAGCTCCTGCTGCTGCTGCTGCTGCCGCTGCCGCCTGCAGCGTGCGTGCGTTCTGCCCGCGCCGGCATCATCGTGCGCCGCCGGCCGCTCCCGGGTCACCCGCCCGCCGGTCTGCCCGCCTCTGGGCCTCCGCTGCCTTCAGGGACCGAGGCGGCCGGCCGCAAAGTGCCAGACACCAGCCCGCCGCATTCCGACACAAGGGCCGGCCTGGCCGCGGCCGCGTTTCTCGTTGGCTGCTTCGTGCGCTGGCGGCTAGGTACACCTGTTCTTTCGCGGGTCCGCAGCCAACCCTCGGACAGCGCTGCCCAGGAGAGACCAATCCGAGCGCAGCGCGGATGGCGAGCGGCTGGCTTACCTAGCTCACACAGCCGCGGCTTCGCGCTGCCGCCGCCGGCACCCGAGAATCCAACTCCAGCCGGCAGCACCGCGCTAGCCCGGCTCCGGGGATGCACGGACGCCCGCGATGGGTGCGTTCTCACCCGCCGCCAAAGGAACCCGATGAGCCACTGAGGCTTTGCAATCTCGCCGCGATGCCGCTGCTTGGTGAAGCGTAGGGACAGATAGCTGGCGGCCACGTCGGGGCTCTCGGGCACAGTGGACCTGAGTAGAAGGCGCTCAAGGCTGGCTCTGCCAGCCGGCCAGCGCCGGTGTGTGTGCGGAGCCAAGTCGCACTGACTGGGCTTTGCACAGAGTAGCGCCTCCCACAACACCTAATGGTGATTTCTTTATGCACACAAGACAAATAAATGATTCAAACACATCCTGTTTGGAAGTGTGTGGCAAAAACAGCTCTCAGCCTGATTGTGAGCTCGTCTCCTGTGCTGACCCAGAGGGGTAAGCGACTGACGATGCTGGGAGGAGGGGGCGTGTACGGGTGTTAGCGTGTTTGTGCGCCCCCATGCCAAATGACTGGTGTCACTGGGTGAAGAGCCACCTTTGCCTCTGCATTCCTGAAAGAGATGGTGTTGTAGCAGACGACCTTTGTACTATCAGATCTGGAAGTTATTTCCATGCCGATTTATGGTAATTTACCTTAAAAAAAAAAAGTATTGTCTTTAAATGTTGATGTACGGACATGTACACATGTCACAGGCTGCTAGTGAGAGACTCCATTGCTCGCTCCTTCCATCGGGTAGGGACGCGCCTGTGTACTTATATATCAGACTCAGGGTAGTACCTGCCTGGGGAGCAGGGAGAGGTATCAAGGAAGGACCGGGTAAAGGACAAGCACCAGCATGGTATGTGTTGATGGCAGAAAACCTCACTTGCCAAGTCTTCCCAGATTTCTTGGTCTAGGAAACCCGAGACGAGGTGTTTTTATTTACAAGGTCCAGAAATAAGAAGCAGAGGATGGCAGCCTCCTGATTCACCTTCCTGACCCTATCTGATCGGCACTGATGATAGAGACAATATTCACTTGTCCTGCACCAAAAGGAAAATTTCAAGGTATTCATTTTATTCACAGGTGGAGAGCTACACATTATACTGAAGAGACTGCAGGAGCAGGGGATACACTGAAACAGGAAACCCTTGAGATTTGCTGCCAACCAGAGTATTTCACACAGATATGGTTAATAAATTAATTTTGATGGCAGGAATGCAACTGTCACCTCTTTTGCTATCACAAGGAGACTTTTCCCATAGAAAAGCTTTTGATTTTTAGTTTGATATAACATGCTGTAATCAAGTGTGCTGAATATGGTTCCAAAAGCTGCAAATGAAAAAAAAAAAAAAAAAACACCACAAACACTTGAGTATGTTCCTTCAGCTTTCCAATAATGCAAAGTAAAGTCTTCTTAGGTAAAAATGGAGCCAATCTACTTTCTTCAGGACCTGAGCATTTGCAGCCCAGCCTTTCCTGCTTTCCCACAAAACACTGTGCAGTTATAGTAAGTGCTGCTGTCAGGTATATGAGACAGAAGTTACTCTCTCAAAACAATGCTATTTTATTGGCCCCCAGTATTCCTGCAGAGCCTTGGTGGCACACTGGTTAAAGTGCTTGATTGCTAGCTAACCAAAAGGTCTGCAGTTTTAACCCATCAACTGTTCCATGGGAGAAAGATGTGGCAGTCTGCTTTGGCAAAGATTACAGGCTTGGAAAGTCAATGAGACAATTCTACTCTGTCCTATAGGGTCTCTCTGAGTTGGAATCAACTTGATGACAAAGGGTTTGGTATTCAATTTTTATTCCTGCCCTCTCTTCTTTCTTCCTTGCCCACTGGAATTAATCCAGTGTACAAGATGTGGTATTGTAGAGCTTCAAGCTGGGCAGTTGTTCCCTTCCCTGACCCCGCAGTCCTACAGCTTTCATTCACTCCATGTTGTCTCACTGCCCCAGAATGCCTTTTCCATCTACCTTTCCAAATCCCCTCCACTTTTCTTTTCCACTTTGTTTTAACTACTTATTCATTGTTCCCTGTTGAGCTTATTTTCTCCCAGATCCCAAGCCACTGCACTTGACTACCCATTAGCTGCTTTCACATCCAAGAAAGTTTGGTTGTTGCAATAATTATTAAGGGCTTGGTTGCTAACTGAGTAACTGCCCAGCTACAGCCCTACAACACCACATTTTGTACACTGGATTAACTCCAGTGGGCAAGGAAGAAAGAAGAGGAGGCAGGAATAAAAGCTGAAAACCAAAACCTTTGTCATCAAGTCGATTCCAATTCAGAAAGACCCTATAGGACAGATTAGAACTGTCTCATGGACTTTCCAAGCCTATAATCTTTGCTGAAGAAGCCTACTACATCTTTCTCCCATGGAATAGTTGATGGCTTAAAACTGTGGACCTTTCGGTTAGCAACTTGAAATGGGTTTAGGGTGTCCACGGCTGAATCAAGGACAAGTCCTAGATTGTGGCTGTTAATGAGAAGCCGGTTAGTCAATCCCATGGTAAGAAAGAGTCTCAGAGGACTTGCAAGTCAATGGAGCAGAACACTGGAGAAAGAGCTTCAGATTAACTCTGAAGACAGTGATGCAGGTTAGAGCTCTTCCCCTCATAAGCAATAACGTCACTCCTGGCTTCTGTTTTCTCATTTGTGAGCTTTAATACCAACATTATTGGAATTACATAGCTGTATACACTATTCACCTATGACATCTTATAACCATGGATCTCAATATCAGATAACATCCTGGGGAAAAGGGTATGGAATTTGCTAAAACATAGGAATGACATAGCTCAGTCTCTATCCTGAGCTCCATATCTGCCCAACTATATCCTCCTGGATATCTCCTATGGGGTCTAATGGCACATTAAACTCAGAATTTATACTTGTTGCCTGAAGTTTAGCCACAGACTAGTATTTCTATTGTCTCAGTTTTCCTTTCAATGGCACCAATATCCTCAGGCTGGAATGTTCAGTACTTTCTCTGACTTTTTACCTCACATACCTCAAATATAATTAGTTATCAGAACATCAACTTTGTGTTTCTATAATTGTTCTGAGTTCCATCATTTCTAACACCCTTAGTAAGGACCCATCTTTAGATTCATAAACCTGGAAGTGATCTTGCTGGCTAAACACCTCCAAAATATTATTCCAATGTGTCAGCCCAACAGCCGTCTAGTTCTAGCTACAGCTTCTCTAAAGAAAGTGCCCCTTACAGAGGAAGACCACACAGCATGCAGACATTATATATAATTAGAAAAGTCTTTGTGTTGAACCAAAAATCTGCCTTCCCATATTTTCACCCTTTATTCTTCATTCATTCATTATACAAAAGTTTTAAGTTAACTGGGCAATCCTACTTCCGTAGTGATACTGCCTCGAAAACCCAAGGAGGGGTCACTATGAGTCGGGGCCGACTCGACGGCACATAACAACAACAAAGAGGCCAGACATGGAGGATACAACAGAAAACAAAACAAAACTCTTTACATCATAGACTTTTATTTCAGTGAGAGAGACTGACCATAAATAAAGAAAATAAATTACATAATCTATCAGAAAATGAGAAGTGCTGTGGTCATTTTGGAGTCGTTAACCCAAGGAAGGGTCCCTATGAGTCAGGTCTGACTCAACGGCACATAACAACAACAAGTGCAAGGCACTTGACTGCTAACCAGAAGGTTGGTCGTTCAAACCCATCAGCCACTCCTTGGAAGGAAGGTTGGGCAATCTACTTCCATAGTGATACTGCCTCAGAAACCCATGAAGGGGTTGCTATGAGTCGGGTTCGACTCGACAGCATGTAACAACAACAACAACAACAGTGCAATCGATTAACACTCTTGGCAACTAACTAAAAGACTGGAGGGTCAGGTCCAACAAGAGGAGCCTCAGAACAAAGACTTGGTGATCTGTTTCCAAAAGACCTTAGTCATTAAAAGTCACATGAAGCACAGATCTACTCTGACACACATGCAGTCATCATGAATAGGAGTTGACTTGGCAGCAGTTGGTGGCTGTGGGTAAATGTTTTTTACTACAAAGAACTTGTCTTGTGATTACACAAGACATCTCCCCACCAATTCCAATATACCCTAAGGCCATGAGAACTTGACACTCCTAGCAGTAGCTGGGTGTTATTTCACTAGCTGTGAGTTACTGGATAATGTAATGATTACAGATGGCAGGCTAACTTGAAGAATTCTACTATTCTTCATAATTCCCACTTCCATCATTGGTATTGACAATGTGATACCTCAATACATTTTGCAAAGC